AAATCAAACCAAAACAACCCTCTTTTATGTCTTCCCCTTGAGCTTCACACTTGCCCTTGCCAGTAGGTAGTACCTATGAAAGCAGGAGTTGCTGTAATTTCACTCCTGTATAAGGTGTTCTTCCTTAACTTTGGCTGCTGTGATATCTGCCCTGATCAGCATTGTGTTTCCTCTAGCTGCTTCCCTCAGCAGATTATGCTGCCTGGGAGATGATCAGTCTCTCAGTCAAGGCAAGAAATCCTACAACTCCTGTGATTTGTTCTACTTTGTACATTTGTGTCTGCTTGATTCATTTGCCCACCAGGATTTTCTTGGTCATCCTATCTTCAGGGCATCTGCTCCTCAAGAGAGCATACTTTGCAGGTTTTCTATCTCCTACCCTGTATTCAAGAATAGATCATGAGACCAGCAGCTAGCATAATGGCTATATCATTGGACTCCCATGTAGTTGACCGTGGTTCAAGTCCTGGACCAGTGGCTTAAACTCACAACGGGTGTGTGTGCGTGTGTGCCCAATAACCCGAGAGGAAAATGGAGGAAAAGGGATTGCGGCATGACCATCCCCCCTGGGGGGTGATTTCTCGCTTTCTGTCTCTATGTCTCTCTCTGTCTTTCTAGTAAGTACACGCACACTATAGCAAAAACCCCTCCAAAAAAATAAAAGAAAAAAGTTGATCTCAAATTTTAAGATAGCCATCTTTAATATCACAAAGATATACTTTACATTAAAATCCACACTAAAAAATCAGAAAAGCACTTTTATGTATTTACCTTTTACGTGAATACTGTACGTGCTTCACATTTTGTACCATCTCCTGCCTCCAGATCTAGATTATTTTTACACACACACACAGACACACACACGAAACACAAATTCACATGAGAGTTGTTTAGAAACTCCATGAAAAGTACATTTGATGGACAAACATGCATGGCTTTAATTTTTTCTTTTTTGCATCGAAATAAACTCACAAATTAATTTCATTTTCCATGAACTTTCTGAAGCCCACTTGCATATGTATACTCTATTGCCCTGATATTATTCTTACTCTCTCTATGAATTTAGAAGAAAACTTCATATAAACATCAAGGCTCACAATTGTAAATGTTATAAAGCACCACCACAAAATAAATATGAATGTGATATGCTATATTCTTAATCATTTCACATACAAGTTTATTTCAGTACTATCAAAGAGATTCAGATATTCATGATAAATCTGGAGGGTGAAACTATAAAAGAAGTGCCAGCATTTGAAATTGTGTGAGTGAAATGGAAAAGTTGCTGGTTTATACAATTAGAGTTACGAAAATATATAGTGTGTTTATGTCAAGGGGTTTAATCAGTGTGCTTAAAAAAATCACAGTGCTTCTGTTCATAATTTTGTCACATGCACACATTTCTATGGCAAAAGGCCAAGTACATTTAATGTAATTCACGGATGACAAGGAAGGTTGATGGCCTCTAATGAGCAATTGATTAACAGTAAACAGAGAGATATTAAGAATCTAGTTTACACTCCATCTGGAATAGAAGGACCATTTCCTTTTCCTGTGGCTCTTCATCCAAGTTTATTAACGAAGAAGGAAAAACAAGGGGATACTTAATTCTTAGATTTATTATTTGAAGATAATGAGCCCCATATTGTGATGGAAAACATAATTCTTGGTTGAAAGCCATGAATGTGTGCAGAAATAACCTACAGTCTTTAGCAGTTCACGTAAGCCTTGGCCTGGGTCTTTGGTCTGAGAGTTACTAAAATGATTGAGGTGTAAGAGGGTTAAAAACTGTATTCTACAGTATTATTATCTCAAAGACTGATTATCATGCAGAAGTGTGTTCCCATTTCAATTTTTAAAAACTACTAATTTGTTCTCAACAGTGTAATTTGGAACTCCCATGGGATGACACATGAGGATACACAGGAGACTTTGGAAAGTTTTTGTTGGTTTGGTGACACGGTTCACCAAGGCTACTTGGCTGAGATTTCCACTGCCTGATGCTACAGTAACATGGTGGCCACACTGTGATTCTCCACAGCTGGGCCCTCATAATTCACAGGACACAATAAGGACCTGAACACATATTATCTTCTCAAGAAAGGAGAATAGAGTACACCTTTTGAATATCCTTCACTTGGTTGGATTTTTACATAGCAAACAAGGATAAGTGAAAATAGTATGTTGTCAATGAGTATGTGGCATTGGTCATGTTGTAATGCAGTCTTATACTGGTCATCTCAGCACTGTCCAATTTCTGCATATGCAGTATCATAAAGATGTGTGAGGACTACATGGCATCTGACTGTATGTGTTAATTCAACTCAATCAAGCCAATGTTTGTTGAGCTCCTCCTGTAGGATAGATGTTACAATAGTTGAGCATGTTAAAACAATACTTATTGGGGCCAGGTGATGGTGCAGTGATAACGTAACTAGATCCACATGGGAAAGGTCCTGGGTTTAAATTCTAGAACCTCCTTAAGCATTCCAGGTGGGTGTACGCATGTGCTTCTGGTCCAGACTGGCTGAGGCTAGGAATAGATTGTGGCATGAGGACTATATTAGAAATGACTGTTTCTATCTCTCTTTCTTTTCCTGTTTCTGTCTCTCATTTAAAAACTGAATAAATAGGGAACCAGCAGTTAGTGTAATGGCTATGTTGCTGGACTCACATGTAGTCGACTGCAGTTCGCGTCCCAGACCCGGTGGCTTAAAACTCACACCGGGTGCGTGTGCGTGCGTGCCCAAGATCCCGAGAGGAGAATGGAGGAGAAGGGATTGCGGCGTGACCATCTCCCCTGGGGGGTGATTTTTCGCTTTCTGTCTCTATGTCTCTCTCTGTCTGTCTGGCGAGCGCACGCGCCCTATAGCGAAAAACCTCTCAAAAAAAAAAAACTGAATAAATAAAACTTAAGTAAACATACATTATTTCAACTAGTAAGTAGTCTTCTTTCTTTCTTTTTTAAGTTTGTTGATTTCTTCCAGGAAAAGGCAAGACAGAGTGAGAGAGAGAGCTGCCAACAGCTCTCATCTTAACACCATGATCTACCCTGTCCTCAGCCAGCCTGGACCATTGCTATGTGTGTTCCCAGCATGCACAGGGAGTCTGCACGTGAACCTAGGGCCTTTCCCTGTGGGTTCAGCATTGCAGAGTACTGTGCTTCTGCTGCACCATCACGGCTAGCGCACTCAACTTTCATAGTAATTTATTTATTTTTAAAATCCTTGCCTCATGCAGTTATTACTTACTATGTGTGGTTCACTGGAAGTATATCTTGTGTTTGTATATAATTGAATATATTCATTATTTTTCTTTCTTTCTTTTTATTTATTTATTTTTTTCCTGGAGGGAAGGTAGACAAGTGTGCTAACCAAACAGGAGAGAGACAGAGAGAAAGAGAGATTGGGAAAGTGAGAAATCACTTCCCAGGAATGATAGCCCTTGATAGCTGCAACCCTTCTCCTCCATTTCCCACTTGGAATTTTGGTGCTACACACACTTGATTTTCATGCCACTGGGTCTGAGACTTGAACTGCAGAATCAAGTAAGATTCTAGTTACCTTAAACTTCATGCCACTTATTTTTCCATGAATTAATTTTCATTGAAAAGAGTAGTCAAGCACAAGAAATTCTAATTTTCATTAACACTCAAATAGTGTTTAAAGGAAGTGTTTATCATTAAAAGTCTATGTCAAAATTATGGTTTATTTTTTTCTTTTTGTGCTTCTTATTTTAAAATTCTTTTTGATAGCTCTTTCATTTAAATCAATATTTTTTTAAAGTTTTTCCCATAGGGCACATGCTCACTGAAGAGAGACAGAGAGGGATAGTGAGAAAGTGAGAAATCACCCCCCCCCCCCAGGGAGGTGGCCACCCCACAATCTCTTCTCCTCCATTTTCTTCTAGGGATTTTAGGCATGCAAGCACACATGTCCAGTGTGATTTTCAAGCCACCAAGTCCAGAACTTGAACTATGATCGGCTATGTTAGAGTCTAGCAGCCTAACTACCATGCCACCTGCTGACCTCCTAAATCAATAATTTTTTTTTATTAGTAGTAAAATGAGAACACGTTCCCTTTGAGAATCTCTTAAAAGCTATGCAACTTCTCATCAGTAAAATGTATACACTAACATACATGTCTGCAACATATGACACACATGTTTTATTAAAGTTTGTATTTGTATATTTCTTCCATGAGGAGGAGAAATCATGAGACAGGCAGCACTCCTAACAGAATTTGATAACAATTCATCCCTAGCCTCAGCAACCATATCATGGTCAAGAGTGTACCAATGTACCAAGGGGTCTCCAGATGGGAACCTGGAACCTTTCTATCCATGTGGGTTAGCTTTACAGAGTGTTGGGCTTTACCTCTGTGCCACTGCCCATCCCCTAAGTATATATTTTGGGAATTGATCATTTTAAGAAACATATTAAATGCTTCTAGTAAGAGTATATAAATGCAGTTTATAAAATTACAACCTGATTTGGAAATTAAGAGATGATTTTTTTTGAGAATTACACTTGTGGATTGAAATTCAATTTCCTATCCATACTACTGATTAATTTATGTCACAAATGTGTGGTTGCATTTTGCCACTGTGGTAGAAAGCAAATTATTAGGACATGTTTCCGATCAATTTAGCATGAATTTAAGTCAGAATATTAGGCTTTCCTAAACACGAGCATATGGAAGTGATCCCTGACATATATGCATTGCCGTTTTGTTAAGGCTGCATCTGCTATCCTAATGGAAAAGCTATCATTCTAAGACAGTTTTGTAATTGAGTTCTGCTATCCTTCTGTTCTTCTGGGTCCCAGAGTAGCTCAGGAGAGTCACTGCCTTGAGCTTGTCTTTGGAAAGTTTCCAGAGCTGAACAGGTGATACCATAAACAGAACCCAGTCTTGCCATTTGGGGCCAGCGAGTGGCTCTATGTGGTGGCTCCTCCCGGATGTAAATTGATTTTAATGATTTCTTTCTTTCTCCTGGGCAGGATTTATGTGGGCATCATTCTTGTGACACCCTGGGGATGGCAGACGTTGGGACCATATGTTCTCCGGAGCGCAGCTGTGCTGTGATTGAAGACGATGGCCTCCATGCAGCTTTCACTGTGGCTCATGAAATTGGTATGCAACGCCTTTTCTCTTCCCTTGCCAAATCAAACACTTGTAACAGCTGCAAGAGGAACCAAAATACTTGGCAATTAATTCCAGATTTCTCCTAGTTCAGATGTACTGTTAGGGATTAAATTTGTTTACATTTATACTTTTAGGGTTACTAATATGAAGTGAAGGCAGAGTCAGCAACACAGTGAATATTTCCTTCTGACAGTGTCATTTAAAAGTTTATAATGAATTTGTCACTGCTACTGTCTCTTTAAAACTTTCTAAATGACTTAGACAAAATTCGTCATAGCTGACAATGGAATGCAGAGAGACGTCCCCCTTAAAAATTACTCAAGACAATATTGTCTCATCCACAGCTAATCAGTTTGCACAGAAATGTAACATGTTTTTTTTTTCCCCATGTGAGTAATAACTATAGGCCCCTGTCAAAGGTAGTCAGTGGTTTATGATTAATAGTCATGTGCACTCTGGATAACAAGTCAAAGGAAAGTTAGACTGATATCAGTAGGGTTTGCTTTAAAATGTCACTTACCCAATTTATTTAAGAAGCACATCTAAATTCTGTAACTATAAATATAGGATTGAGTTGGTAGATAATATTCCTGTTGACCCAGTGTCTATGGTACAGTCAGTAGCATACTGAGTTTCAGTGTCGGAAGTCATATGGCCAACCAGGGGTTTTTGATCTCTGGCATAGTCAACCTGAAACACACCCAGTGTGCACAAGAGTGCCAAATCTGACAAAATTGGGAAAGGGACTGTGGTGTGACCAGAGCTTGTGGAGGGTTCTCTTTCTCTTTCTCCTGTGTGAGCATGCATTCTCTATCATGAGTAAAATAAGGAAACTCATTTAAAAATCCCCACAATAAAGAATTTGCGTTTGATAGTGATTGACCTAGGCTACTAAGCAAATTGAAATTCGTATTTAGGAGGAACCACGCTGAAAAGCTTAGTATTTAGAATTATATGTTAGAATTGGACACATGTCTGACTCAGTTCTTCTAAAGTACTTTCTACCTGCAAAGTATTGTTCCAGTTATTTAAACTATCTATGCAAAAGTTTTCATATCTAGAAAATAAGGATAATAGCATCTATTTAATAGGGTCATTTTAGGGCCAAATTAGCTAAGACATAGATGGAAGTGTTGTTATATTTATTTGTACTTCTGTTTCACTTTTTTAGCTAAGTAGTTTGTTTACTTTTTTAGCATCATATTCTGGGAGGGCAAAGTGTGGCTTAACAATGATTGTACTTGCTGTTTTTATTAAACAAATTTAGTTTTTTAAAAAGCTAAAACCACAAGTTTAAATAGAAGTTAAAACTTTTTTACATTCTTCATTGACAGAATATTTCTACAAGGTGTCTATTTCTAATTTCTATGCTTTCTTTGGAGTGTTGAAATAACTTCTAATCAAAGGTGTATTTCCATAAGTCAAATGTTGCAGCAGGAAGATAAAATTCAGTAGTTAAATTTTAATTCTTCATTTTTTTTATCATGACGTTAATGCTCTTGACATTCTTCTCACTATCTAAGCAAAAGCAAGTAAACAAAACAAACAAAAAAAAAAACAGGAATTCTTAATGTAAATAAATCCAACAGCATCACAATGCATCTACATAGCACCATCACAGTGTTCAATTAACACTTCATTAATCGAGCATCTTTGGCTTCCAGGGCCAAAGACCTCAAGTGGAGTCTAAGCTCTGTCTGTGTTGTCTGTTTTATCTCAGGCAAGTGATTTAGGCATGCTCAGAGTCTGCATTTCCTCCCTATTAGGTGGACAAATAATGGGCAATGGCTGTCTCTTGTACTGCCCTAAAAGAGCTGATAATGACTGAAAGCGTTTTGAAACACAGGTTACTAAGCTTGAGAGTAGAGATTATGTCTTCACTTATCTCTCACTCATGCCCATTAAACTAACTGATAAAAATATAGTCTAATATAGAACCTTAATTAATACTTACTACGTATCTGTGTATGTATGTAAGTCAGCAAGCAGGAGTAATAAACAAGAGAGCTGCTCCAGGCCTCTGCAGCGGAAACTAGTCCAAATACTCAACAGGATTGTAATTAAACGGAGGAGCTTTCAGAAGTACACTAGTAATTAATCATCATTACTTAGAATGAGAGACATTTCATTAAAAAGGTTCTAACCCCCTGGGAAGACAGAGAGAGGCTGGATTTTCTCAAGCTGGGTGGAGAAATGGTGGGAAGAAATAAGAGTTGAATTTTGGCATTGTCTATCCACAGGATTATAAACTCGCTCTAAATCCTGATCTTCAAAGAAAGAGATTACACATTTCTTGAAATACGGGCAGTTTCTTCCTTCTCTCCTGCTCTCCTGGAGTGATCTGTCTCATAGGCTGACAGCATCTGGGAGGTTTCCCTGGAAGAGGAACACTGCAGTTAATGCAATGTACCTTTCTCAGGCTGCATTCCCATCAAGCCCTCTGGGCTCGGTTGAAGAGTCTTGCAGCATCACTTTTACAGCTCTCCAAAATTCCTAAACCAAGATCCTTAGGTTACACTGGTAGAACAGCAGTTTAAAGGAGAAAGTCAGATGCTTATAAGAAAAAATATGTTAAAACTATGTACAGTTGGCCCTTTTGATTCACAGGTTTAACCAACCTTCTACGCAACCAGGCCACACCAATGGTTATTAAATAGGGGGAAGAAGTGGCTCCCCAGGACAGAGCTGCTAAACAAGTTCATCTCTATGTTTGCCTTTTTACTTATATCTGGTGCTAAGATTAGTTGGTAGTAATCTAGAGATGATTTGAAGTATAAGCAAGGGACCAGATGACACAGCAGTAAAGCATGACTGCTCTGCTCAGCCAGCCCACATGGGAAGATTCTGGGTTTGTATCCAGAGACCTCCTTGAGCACAACAGACACATATGTGCCCATGATCTGGGATGAGAGGAAGCTAGGAGTGAATCATGGCTTCAAAACCTGTTGGGGTTGCTGATATCCTCTCTCTCTGTCTTGTTCACTGATGAAAGAAATCATCTTTAAAACTTTATCTATCTATTTATCTATCATCTATCTATATAAGGGAAAATTCTATGACATTTTCTATAAAGGACTTGAGCATTCTCTGATTTTCATATCCTCAGGGGGTTCAAGAACCAAATGCCTTTCTCCCCTTCAGGTACTGAGGAACAACTGTGTATACAATAAGAGCTTCTCCTGATGGTATAAGAATATTAGATACAGTTATGCAAGAAAACAATGTAAGAGAAATATGGGCTTCTCTATGCAAAGTAAAACCCGACCTTTGATATATGATTATACTCTGTCTCATTTTTTAATTGCTAGGGGGTATGTACTGGCCAGAGAGAGATAGCGTGAGAGATACACAGAAAGAGACAGATAGGGAGCCGGAGAAAGCATCCCCCAACAAGGTGTGGTCACACGGCAATCCCTTCTCATCCGTTTCTCCCTATACAGGGATTGGAGGCACATGCGTTTTTCAAGTCACAGAACTCAGAACACTGTTAGCCATATGGGATGGGGCTTCCCTTAACCACTAGGCTATGGGTCCTACCTGCCTCCTTATATCTTCTTTATTATTTGGTTGGATCATCTCTGTTTACTTCTTCAGAATTCTCTATAATTTTTTCTCCAATCAAATACTATTTAATTTCCCTTTTGTATTTTTTTTTCAAATTTCTTCAAAAGGGGAATTTTATTGATTACTTTATTTCCTCACAAAAAGACCAACTATAATCAAGTGAGGTAAACACTGACCTCAAGATTTTGTCATCTTCATAATAAAAAAGATGAAGCTTAGAACTGGATCACTTGACCCTTTCTCTTCTTATCTCCTCCCAGTTCAGAATGCCTACATCTCTTAATAGCCAGCATTCTCTTAGGTCTGAAGTTGGGCTCAACACAGTCAAGCCTCAGCACAATCTTTGTAGTTTTTGCCTTTTTCCAGAAAATAGGCTTAGTCTGTCCACCATAGCCACTCTGCTTCCTGTCATAACACCGCTTTCCCTGAGCATACAGAGACTCCTTGTCCTTTTTGTCCTGTGTCACTTCATGAGGTTGGTACTCACCACACTTATTACAGAAAGTCTGGGGTGGGTAGGGGGTGGGTAGGGATGCTTGCCATGCTTGTGGGCCTGCTATCTGCACAGAAAGGCTTAATTTCCCTTTTGTATCACATGTCACCTAATATGTAATGTCTGAAGGTAGAAAATATGAATTTAATTCCTCTTTGATAAAGAAATCTGGCTTTCATTCACTTGATTTTCTAATTGTTTTATTATTCTTTAACTTTCTTTTTTACCTAAATATTATGAGCACATGTTCTAGCATGAGCTTTAAAAAATTTAGAAAAGATAATCTTCCAAAAGATTTACTAATCAGTTCTTTATTATTACAGGGCCTTGCCTCTATAGTTCATGTGATCTTAGGTAATACAGCATGCTGACCTGTTTTCAGTGCTTTATTTTTTGAAAGTTACATGTAGCTATCAGCATGAGATACCCATACTCTAAATTCTAACTTTATTGCTTTCATGACATATCCCTTCTTCTTTTTTATTAGACATTTGCTGTTTTCCAGGCTTAGAAGTCATTTAGGCAGGCTGTGAAAGTTCATTTTGAAACTTTAGTGTTTCAGAGTGTTTAGAATTTGCTTGCACTTTATTCCAAAATTTGCAAGTTACTTCATGCAGACAGTGTAAATGTATTACTGTGCCCAAAACATAAACTAAAAGAAAATTTCCAGGCTGCTCCCTTAATTTTTCTTTTATTTCTTTGATAAGAAGGAAAAGGATATATTTGATTAAAAATGTGAAGATAATATATGAGAAATACTAGATTCCATTAAACATCCAAACATTTGAATAATTGGCATCACAGAAGGTCAAGAAACTAGTAAGGGCATGAACTCCTGGAAGATGACTTCTCAAGTCTAGAGAAGGACTCAAACATCCAGATCCAAGAAATACAAAGGACTCCAAATAGAATCAGTGGAAGAAGATCCTCT